TATGTGAATGTCTTCTATTTTGTACTCTACTCACTAATTTGATAATATCTTGAGTTATACAAATCTAAATCACAAATCATTTGAAGATTTAGAAACTAGACTTAAAGAGCTATCTATCCATAAATTCATCACCTAATTCATTCTGTATGAATTATAGTAAATTTTTAAAACTACCTCTTATGCAATTTTAGACAACTGCAAAGTATCTAGTAAAAATTTAAAATCTTTTTTAGAAAATTTGGATTTTGATTTTTTTTTTATCCATTAGAAAGTAGACTCAAAGAGCTTTCCAACCATATAAAATTCAAATATTAAAACTTTGTAAAGTAATACAGAAAATAAGACAAGTTCAATGTTGAAAAATTTTGTTCTTATAAAGCAACTTTCTTAAGTTCATCTATTTTTTATAAAATCAATATTATCAAAATTGTATTGAGTCTAAAATGAATAAGTTCATTTTAAAAACAACAATTGGACTTTCATTTAAGCTCAAATAAATAATCTTTAAAGATAGATTTAGCTTGAGAAATATGAAACCAAGAAAGGTTTGTTTAAACTTTGAAATTATATTATTTATTTAGAATCAAAATATAAAACTTAAGAACATGTACTAAATAAATCTTTTTAAAAATTTTGATCAAGCTTATTTAGCTTAATGTTTTGTCATTTCAAAATACGGATCAACTCAAGGCTAATAAAAAATATTTTGAAAGAAAAATATTTTGATATAAGATAGTATCTTAGGTAAATACAATTATTGAGATCTTGCCCAACTATAGGAGGTCTTGGTGATTATTATTTATGAAAAGTGTTATCTCGATTTTTGTGGAACAATTTGAAAACATTTGAATTAGGAATATTTTTTAAGCTCTGCCTAGTTATAGGAGAGTGAAAGACATGTTTCAATATTTAAAATATTTTCACTTTGATCCAAAATTTTTTAAAAAAATGTTTTGTTTATTTGATTTGTTTTTGTTTAAAAAAAAAGAAAAGAAAAAGCAAAAAAAGAGAGGAAAAAGGAATTAATTTTAAACATTAAGTAAAATAGGACCATTTTTACTAAAATTAAAGGATAACATGCAATCAATTGGTACCATATTCAACGGGTGCTACGGGGGTGCTAATCCTTTCCCACATGTAACTAACTCCCTGACTCAACTCTAATTTTGCAAACAACAAATTTGTTCTTTTTCTAAAACTTTTTAAACCCAATATAAAATATTTATTAAAATGACAAAAATTTTTGGGTGGCCAATTACATCCTAGAAAAGATTGGTTGAGACTCCTTGTTTTGTTTGTTTATCAAAAAATATTTTAATCCCCCCGTTTTTCAAATTTTTATCATTTGTTCAGTTTTCGAGTCAGCTTGCCCCCAAGTCCTAAGATGTCGCAACAACTTTTCATGAAAATTTAACTTTCTTGCATCAATTTGCGAATGACTTTTAGAATTATTCAATGAAATTTCACGATTCAAACATTTTCGCATTCACTTTCCACTAATGTCATGCATTCTTCAAAATTTGTTTGGCATTTGCAGTTTTGATCTCTTGGCAGTGTTTTGATTGGTTCTTGCTTAATTATAACTTGTTTTAAGCCAAAAATTTTTCTTAGATTCGTAACTCATAATCTTCAAATCTCTAAAAAAAAATCTCATTCAAATTCCATCCAAAATATTCCAAATCTAGCTTCAAAGTTTTGTTTAAACTCAGTTGCAGAGTTAAACTTTAAATGAGTGACAGCATATCAAGGGACTTCTCTCCATCTTGGCATTTGGTTTGCAACTCCTACACTTTACACATTTTAATTCATGTGTTTACTTGTTAATTCTTATTTGATTGCATTTACATTCATGTTTTTACTGACTATTTGGATGATTTCCTTTGCAATTGCTCTGAATTTTTAGTTTCTGCATTAGATTTGAATCTCATTTCATTGAGATAGAATTTCAACTTTTTAATACAATTTTTTTGTTGAATCATGTTGCAAACTTGTTGTTTTAGTTTGCTTTAGCTCAGTTCCAGTTTGTTCTTCCTAGAAACTTCCACATCTGATTTTTTATCTAATGACTCGGTATTTATCGAGCTTGAATCAGTTTTGGTTTTTCAACTTCCTTGGTTGAATTTTGCAAGTTCTATTCACTGTTTGTTCTTCAGTTCAGTCTCTCTTTTAGTTCTTTTAATATTCTTTCAATTTTTAGTGTATGTTCATTCAATTTCACATGATTCAAGTCCAAATTTCTCTCTTGTTCATGCAATATCCAGATTTGGTTATATTTTCGATTTTCAAGTTTTTAGCTTAACTCTTGCATTTTTCTTCATTTACTTGTACTTCAAAGTTGTTCTTGTTTTAGTTCACTCACTATTTTTTCATTTTATGATTCAATTTCATACAATTTGCAGCATATTAGTTATAGGAATTCTTGTTGATTTATGGTTTTCTAGCATTGTATCTTTTCTTTAGGTTTTGCATAGCCATTTGGATTTTGCAATTTTGATCTTTAATTCTCATTTTAATTTTGTTTTTACCTTAGTTAAGCTACTGTTTTTGTCAATTTACAACTTGCTCGTTTCATTTCTTAAAATATTTTTAGTAGTTTCTTAGTTGGAAGTTAAAGTTAGTTAAGGTAGTTAAAGTTAGTTAAAGTTAGTTAATTCAGTTATGTTTGTTTAGTTATTGTTTTCCTTGTTCATGATACTTGTCATTTTCATTCTTAGTTAGATTTACATTTTAATTCATGTTCATGTCATTGCATTTTAGTTTATCTATTATTTTTGCACATTCTTTTACTTAGTTTACATTTTGCAATATTATATCTAACTATACTTGTGTTAAAGGTTTTTTGTGATTTTGCGTTTTTAGTTAGTTTAATTTCCTTCTTTTCTTTTTTTTTAATTTAACCAACTTTAGATAGTGTATGATGATAATAGGTACTTAGGTTAGGGATATTTTTTATCTAATCCTCGTGGGATCAATATCTAGACTTCCATAGTTTCTATTATTACTTGAACATCTTGTACTCTTGTAGAATATCTGAATCAACTATAAACATCAGAAAGGAGAATAGCATAAGGGTATAGAAGAAAATAAGCTTATCTTGAATTTCTAATTCCTAAACCATTTTCTCTTATGTAATTATTAAAGTTTTTTTATGTTGTACTTTATTTTTTAATATTGTCTATTTATTGAACTCTCAAGAATTGGCAATGTTCAACACAAGATCAAAGTTTACATTAAAATAAAAAATCACAAGGGCATTGTTAGGCATTGTTCACAAGAGCAGTATGAATTCACAAGGCATAAAAAATCACAAGAGAATAAAAATCCGCAAGGCAAATAAAATCACAGTGCATTATTCGGCATTGTTCACAAGGGTATAAAAATTCACAAGGCATAAAATATCACAAGTGAACAAAAATTCACAAGGCAAAAAAAATCAAATTAGCATAAAAAATCACAAGGCATTGTTCACAAAAGCATAAACGTAAAAAATATAAATCACAAAAAAAATGCAAAAAAGAAAAATACATTTTTACCTTAATCGACGGCGAGGGGAATGACGGTAGTCATAGCAATGACGATGGCTAAAAAGTGGCAAGGATTGGAGGCCAAGCATTTTGGGGTTTAGGGTTTATCCTATGTAGTGCCAAAAATCGATTTTAGGTTGTTTTAATGGTTTTGTTGAATTTTATACATAAAGCACAAATATTGTATTTTTAAGAAACTAAATGTGATATTTGAATATTATTTTTTTTTAATATTGAATACGACATTTTTATAATTTCTTACTCAAAGACTGTGTTTTTAGGATTTGAAATGCAGTAATTGTGAATTATATTTTTGTAATATTTTTAATACAATGGTTACGTTTTCATAAACAAAATGTTGTAGTTTTTAGGATTTGAAATGCAATATCTATGGATTATTTTTTGTGGTATTTTTTTAATATAATGATAATGTTTTTCATGAACAAAACATCGATTTGAAATACAGTATTTGTAGATTATTGTTTTGTGGAATTTTTTTAATACAACGACATTTTTCATTAACAAAACATCATAATTTCTACAATTAAATATAGTATTTGTAGATTTTTTGGGTTTTTTTTTAATACAACAATGATTTTTTCATGAACAAAATATTATGATTTCTAGGATTTGAAACATAGTATTTGCGGATTATTTTTATGTGAAATTTTTTTATACAACAATGATTTTTTTTATGAACAAAATGTTATAGTTGCTAGGATTTGAAATTTAGTATTTGTAAATTATTTTTTTGCCATATTTTTTTAATACAATGATGACATTTTTCATAAACAAAACGTTTTCATTTAGAGGATTTGAAATGCAATATTTATGAATTATTTTTTTGTGGAATTTTTTTAATACAATAATAATGTTTTTCATGAACAAAATGTGAACTTTTTTAAGATTTGAAACAAAGTATTTGTGAATTAATTTTTGTGGTATTTTTTTAATACAACGTTGATGTTTCTCATAAACAAAACATTGTTCTAGGATTTGAAACGCAATATTTATGAATTTTTTTTATGGTACTTTGTTTAATACAACTTGACGTTTTTCATAAACTTTTTGTCATCTCTATATTTATAAATGTAGTATTTGATTAAAGACTACCTTTTTTTTTCAATATTTGATTTCATATTATTTTGGTCAAACATTGCATTTATATTTAACAAACACATTGCGTTTGTTACATAGTTAAGGACAGTACAGTAAAAATATTTTATTACGTAATCTGAGTTTTCCTCAACTAAATACAAGAATCTAACAATCTCATGCTATAAATAATCACCCCTTACCAAGAATCTATAATTTCCCAAGAAGCACTTTTTTTTCTTAAAATTTAAGATTTCATGATCCAAACGTCCCCTAGGTAGGGCTTTCTTTTTCTTCTTTTTTTTTTTTTTTTTCAGTTTCTTGGCTTGAAGTAGTTTATGCCATTTTGAAAGACCAATATTTCATGATAAAGAATATTTGTTTCAACCTACTAAGCAACTTTGTTTTTATTAAATAGGAAACAACATATCTGGGTAGAGAGTAGGAAAATATCACAAGAAAATCATTTCCATTACAGTACTAAAACAGAAAGTTAAATGACAAGCACTGAATATTTTATTGTAGCTTCCATGTTAAAGGGAAGTATACATTCTACAATCCATATGATAGTGTAGTAAGTTTAACAAGCTTCAAGCACATCAATCGATTAGGCAACTGGGAGACAGATTAAGCCGCGGCAACAGCTTCGGCTGGCTTTGCCACAGGCTCAGCTGGAGATTCTGCTTCCCAGAAGGTAGTCTTCTTTCCAGTCTTTGACACAGTCTGCAGAACTGCATCAGGCTGGATGTTGCCCTTCACGGTCACTTTCTGCTCCTTCAGATCTACTTCATATGATTCCACACCTGAAAAGTGATTTATGACAACATATTGATATTGAGTAATCAAACCAAACCTTAAAAGATAACAGCCAATGAATAAGGATGATGGCATGTCTCCTGGTTAAAAGTGGGAACATAGATTGGAAGTAGAATTTCCCACTTCAATGTAATCCTTCACCAATTCAAGAAAAGACAGGGCAGCAAATATCTAGAATTTTAAATCTACAGGAAATGAAGATGATGAATGCCAAATTATTTTCACACACCAAACATCTGCTATTATAAATCATTATGTAGTAAATTAATCTGCTTCTCTAGTCCAATAACCCCCCCCCCCCCCCCGCGGGGGATCTCCTCCCTTTTCATTTTCTTTTGGGATGGGGAGAGTTAATCTGATTCTCTAGGAAGTAATTCTCATGGACACTAGAGGGACACCATGGCACAAAGCAGTTCTAAAACTCAGTTTTTTTGAAACTTATGAGCCCCAAAATTAATCATGAGAAAAGAACAGACATAAAAGCAGGGGTTACAACAAACCTTCCATTTTTCCCAGAACTCTCTTCACGGCTCCAACACAGCCCTCACATGACATACCAACCTTGAGAACAACGGTCTGCAATCAACCAAAATGAATACGCAGTTCATAATGTTATCAAAGAACAACTTAGACAACTATGTTCAACAACCATGAACTACAACAAAAACCAGGAGAAAAAAAAAGATTGGATGCATTTGAACATTGAAATAATAAGAGAAACCATTCTTAGAAACTTGGTTTTCTATAAAGACAAGCACAATTTCTATCCTTTCCTTGAAGCATAAAACCAGATCAGTGTGAAAGGCATCAATTTCGCTCTTTTTAATGCTAAAAGTGTAAAAAGACATCTAAATATGTACACCTTTATGTCCAAGATAATGTGTTTAACCAAGTAAACCGTAGCAATTTAAATTTCAATACCCATATCAGTCAAATTATTTTTTTCCCCCTTTACCTTTGAAACCCAAATACCAAATGAATCGAGATATCATATAATGATTGAAACTTGGAATTGAATCCTAGCAAAGTCAAAAGGATGAACAACAAAAATTTAGTCTTTCCTCCAAAATTTTCAATCCAAAAGTCCGATAAACAACGACCCAGATTCAGAAAACAGGAATAAAAACTGACCCATAAAATTCACAAAACATATGCAAATAACTAAATACAAATTTTTAAAGATTGTCAAAAGAAAAGAAAATTAGTGAAGAAAAAATTACCTGAGACATGGATTTAGCTTTGTAAATTAAAAGAGAGAAATCGGAAAATGAATGAGAAGATTTTCGTTGGGCGTTGGGTACGAAGCAGCGAAGGTCGAAAGAGTTGAATTTTATAGAAGAATCATTGGAGGGCAGTGGCGGTGGCCTGGACCATTTCTCCAATCTTCAACGTAACGTCCAAACCACGCGCTTTTCCAAATTCGTTTTTGTTTCTTCCATAGTATTTAATTGACAGCAATACTCCACGTTCTAAATTTTATATCAATATATATAATTTTCTTTTTCATTTTTTATTCTGATTATCAATTTTCTTTTTCATATTTTAAGTTTTTTTTTTTAATTTTGAGATTTAAAATTATGTAACATCAATTTATAATTGAAAATTTTAAAATCATATATCATAAATAATATCATATTACAACATACTTACAGACTTGATAAAATTTTATTTATATGTATACTTAGATGAATAATTTTTTTGAATGACACATAGGATAATAATAAATAATTATAATATATATTATCCAAAAATCAGATATAAAAAATTTTTAAACTAAATCATTAAAAAATAATAAATATTCAAATATTAATTTGAAAATGGATAAAATAATATATGATTATTTATTTTGTTTAATATTATTTACATCTATTTAAAATATTCAAATTTATTTAAATTGATAAGAGCATGCATAAATAATTATTTAAAAATTTTTATTTAAAGACTTAAAAATATTCATCTTAATACATTTTTTAAAATATCCAATTAAATAAACAAATAAAAACACCCATTAAATAAATGGATAAAATCATGTTTAATTGTTTATATTTTAAAATATTTGATATAGAATTGAAAACATAATAGATTTTTGCTATTCTATTCTATCTAAAACTCTTTTCTTTACTTCTTTCATTCCAAATTTCTTCAAATCCTTCGTTTAAAAACTTTTTTTAATATATTTTTTTTAAATTCTATTTCTTCCCTTAAATTTTCTTATTCTTATTTTTTTATAATGATTTATACAATCAATAAGAAGAAATAATGGATCTTTTTAGAAAAAGGAAGTATTTTTTTTGTTTCCTTGAGTTTGTTATTTACTTTTAAAAATTTTTCATTTCTTGATTTTCATATAAGTTTTTATTAATATATATCAATTATATTGCTGCTACTTTAAATTCTATTCTATAACGGTGAAAAAAAATTTAAATTGGAGTTTTCTAATCATTCTTTTTTTTTTTTGTATAATGAATGAAATTTTTTGATCAGAGGTGCATGTACGCATAGAAAAGATAAATTTTTAAGAGATTGAAAAATGGTTTAGAATCTGAAAAAATTTTCTCGGTTTAACTTCCTAAATCATACTTTTGTCTTTAAATTAAAATTTTTCTATTTTTTTGATTAACTTCAATATTAAATTTTAGTTACACTTTATCTTAATTCTCAATTTTTCTTATAATTTTCTAGGATCTATAAATATTTATTACATTTGAATTTTATGTAAACCTTTTTTTTATATATATAGCAAATTTCTTTTTTTTTTTTTACCAATTAAGCAATCAAATTTATGAAATGAATTTAATTAAAATTTTAACATTTTAAATATTTATTACTATATTTTTCTAAATTAAGATGGAGTTCAAAAAGTTATTTAAAAATTTTGTTGACAAATTATATTTTTATTTTGAAATTTTGTACTTTTAATTTATGAAATTAAAAATCAAATCAAAGATTTTAACATTAAATATATAAATTTAATTAAAAATAAAAAAGAGAGAAGTTACAAATATTTAGTGATAAAAATAAAACTTTGAACCTATTAAAATTGCAAGTAGATTTTTAACATATTAAATAAAATATTATTATAAATATAAAAATTTCGTGCATTGGCATGGGTAAAAAACTAATTTTAATATAAAAAGACTATAGTAAAATTTTAAAACATATAAGTCAAATAAAAATAAATAAAATAAGACAAAATGAGGAACATCAATATTAGTATAATATTTATTTTCTTTTTTTCTTTTAAAGTAATACACTCACCTTCCATGTATATGAAGTGCGTCCATCTTTTGTTAGTGTTACTTTTATATTTTTAATACCTTTAAGTTTTTTTAGGTTTTACTTAGATTTAATTTCTTTTCTAATGAACAAGGATCAAACTTTGATTTACTTTTGTATGTTTATCTACTTTATATATTTTATACTACAATATTATAGATGATATACTATCATATAATAAATATATATATATATACATATATTCTAATAAAAATATATTTATACATATTTTAGTTGGCAAAAAAAAACACATATTTTATATAATAATAAAATAATATATATGAAAATTCCACATTTTCTTTTACAAGAGATAACATTATTGTGTTGTGTGTTAATTTTCAATTTTATTAATTACTCAATACATTTTCTTTTGTAGGCATATAACAATAATTTAAATGATTATTCAGTTCTACAATTTTCAGAAATGAATTGTTAAACATTGGAAATTCCACTAACCATCTTGATAAACACTTGTTATATTTTTCAATAAAAAATGAAAAAGAAAAATAGTTTGATAAACATATCATTATATTCTAATTTCTTAGTTAATTATTTAATAATTGTAATTTGATTATAATGTAATAATTAATTATTTAATTGATTATATGAATAAATATTTAATTATGATTATAATTTAAAAAAATTATATAATAAATTGATTATTAATGTGCTGTTGGTGATCAACATGGTCCATTATTTAAATAAAAAATAAGATGAAAAAATTATCTGATGGATTGGAAAGGACAAGACATACAAATATCAATAAATTAGTCTATTTGTAGACTCAATTCTAATTTTCTATTCCTCAAATTCTTGGAATCTCTATTCAAGATTTCATGGATCAATGGTGCACCTCTTGTTCTCTTTATAATTTTTTTTTTTTTTTATACTCGCCTTCTTTTTTGGTTAGAAAGATGTAAACGGGTGAGAAACATTTTGGCCTCAATCTCCTCAATTAATCAACATCAAACCTCACTATTGATTTAGTGGACAATAGGCTATTGCCACCGTCTGTGGATTGCATAAATTGCGTGTTCTCTCTCTCTCTCTCTCTCTCTCTCTCTATTTTCTGTAAAAAGAGTGGTTTAAATCACACCTTTGAAGCTATTGATAATTTTTTTATATATATTTTAGTACATGTCTCTAATATCATATTAACCTTTTAGACATTCCAAATCACTTTTTATTTGCGTAAATGATCTTTCAAAAACTAATTTGGTGCTTTATCTTTCTAATTGCGTAAATGATCTTTCAACATCTAATTTGATGCTTTATCATGTAGATTTATGATTGTCACAATCACCAATGTTTAAGCTGATTACATTATATTTTTTAACTTTGAAAAACAAAATTGTTGACCAACTCTTCAATGTGTTGACATTTAGCTACTTTATCTAATAAACAAAAAATCTTATACGTAACTAAATTACTAATTTAATTATTATTAAGTATTATTGTCAACTATCTATAACTAATCAAAAATTTTGTCAACAAACCATTCTAGGAAACAGAATACATTCGTTGTAATTGATATATAACCAAATTAGTAGTTTTTTTTTTCCCATTATTAGCAAAAGAAAACGATCATGACTTTTCTTCAACAGAGAAGTGTCATTCATGGATTTGGTTGGGGGATGAGGTGGTTGGAAGACCAAATTTGAATGTTTCTTAAGGTTCATTCCAAACAGTGAATTAATAGTACACATGTACGTTCAATGAAGTACAGACATTGTTCCAAGTACCCATTTACATTTTCTTTTCTTTTTTTCAAACTTTTTCTTTTTTTTTTTTTCTTTTCGAGGATACAAATTTTACATCGGTTTAGTTAGGAAGGTTAACACCTTTGTTTGTGTCGAGTTACTTGACGATGTCAAAATCCTAAAATCACAAGTTTAGGGGTTGTTAGAAGTAAAGGTCTAACATTTTTTTAGCATTTTATATCCAACACTTAAGTCAATACTTAAAAAAAAAGAGAATGAAAAAAAAAATCTTAAGAAGAGAGAATGAAATTAAATGTCCATACCTAATGTGTGTTAGAAAAAATAAATAATGAAAGAGAAATAATAGAAAAGAATTTTGGTTTTAAGGCATGAAGAATATTTTTTTAAAAGTAATTATATATTTAGGATATAATAAAGTCTCAAACTCTTCAATCAAAAGTAATAAAAATAATTACACTAAAATATTTATTTATAATGAATGAACAAACATAAACTTCTATTCAGATGGTTATGACCTTTTATATAATCATGAGCGTTATAAATATAATCTATTTATATTCAAATAGTTAAGATCATTTGTCATATGATAATTGTTTCTGTTCAAACATAATTATTTAAAATATGAATAAAATTAATACAAAAATTAATTTTATTTATCAATAATTAAATCTTTCTATCCAATGTATGATGCACCATATTCTAAATTACTAACAATCCCCCACTGGTTTAGAATGTTGGTGTTTAATTTTTACCTTTCACACAAATAAATATTATGAATACAAGAATATATCTTTCGATTAACTTCTAGTATTAGAATTAAAGATATAACACACATAATATTTATTTATTCTTCTGTCAGAGGTTTATAACCACTTTTAGCAAAATTATGATCATGTGCTTATCATATTCATAAACTTTTGCAAGAGAGACCTCAATTTTTCTTGTTGAAGTGGCACAACTTCTATATTTATATAGGTAGAGTTTCCATTATGTCTCATTGCTTTAGATATTTAAAACTCCATTAATAGTATAAAAATTCATCCTCCCCACACAATGGATCACACTAGTTTCTAAAATTTGAATGGATTTTACTAGTGCTTAAAAAACACATAACAATAACTTGTTTTTACCCATTAAACTTTGAAATTAGAGGTTACTTATTCAAAGTTGGATTTCCATTATCGGTGTCTAATAGTAAGGCTTTAAATCCATTGTACTTGTAGTTCTACCAACTAAATATCTTGGATTTCAATTTTCTTTTATGGTAATTATCCCCACTTGAAATTGAATTTTTAATATAATCACTTCAGGCTAATATATCCAAACTTTTTATTTTGCATATCATTTATATGCTCCAGACGTTGTTGCTTTATTCTTATCATTTTAAAAAATAGTTGGTTTTGGTTGCAGCCATAACTCTATATTCATTAATTTCAACCATTCTATTTTCACAC